GCACTATATTACCATGCTGTCATTTTAATGTTATTTTTGCTACAATATTTTATAACCTGTCTGTCTGGTAGGACTGTTGTTTACATTGTATTACTGTGTTCCCATTCAGTGGTTACTTTTTTATAGATATCTTGCATCCAGGTTATTTAACCAGCTGTATATTGCATCTTTGCTTGATATCTATTTTTGCAATTTCACGTATGTATGGGTCATAAGAGAAGTATCTAATTGTGGGTTTTTTTTAACAAAAACTTGGATTAAACAGTAATTAATTTTTAATTTGTAAATTTCGTCTTGGCGCACCCGAACTTTACAGTTATAGTTAAAAAAAAAAAAAATGTCATCATCAACTATTTCAGTTTTGTTATTAACGTTTATTTTCATATGACAGTTCATATTTTAATTGATAATACTGATTCTTTCTGTATATTTTAACTAAGCAAAGAACCATTTGGAGCAAAAAGTAAGTGGGGTTAATTTCAAAAACTGTCTGTAACAACATTTATTGTGCAATTTCTCTATAACCATAAAAAAAAATTTAGAATCTGAATGCAAAGAACTTATGTAGCAACTTATGAAAAGATATACACTTCCAGATGCACAGTGCATCTTGCTAGTGTGCGGGATGAGGTTAAGCCAAATTCTAATGATCCATGAGCAGGCTCAGTAATGACAGTTCATTTAATGTCCCAATGCTGTCAAAGGAAAATATAGAAATGAGGCAGATCTTTAATCAGTGTGAATTTGGCAACATTTCAAATACTGGCAAGGTACAGCTACTCAATCAATTTAAGTAAAACTTTCTTTATAAATTGATTCAAAATGCAATGCTTTTCAGAGGTGGGATTTATTATTAAATCAGAATTAACATATTAGTTTGTACACGTTATTTAAAGTTCTAATTTCAGCTAATTTAATTATATTATTAATATATTATAAACAGAATAACTTTTATAAATATTTACATTGAATGACAATATAAAATTAAACATAAAGTGATACATTTTGCTTCCATTGGCATCTTGAACGAATGCTGCTACTATTACCCGTTTGAAAGGCTTTTATTTTATCAACCTCACAAGTTCAGTAAATGCTGGATTGACCCTGGCAGGACACAAACCCACTGTTTAATCAGAGATACTGCCACTAGAGTACTTATCTAGTAAACTATAACACGTTTCAAGCAATATGTCTCTTACAAATCTAAAATAGTTTTTTTTATTTATAAAATTGAGATACACGAGTTTGTAAATTCTGATGTAAAAAGTTGCTCATCCATGCTCCAAAAATATCTTCAAATGTTTTTGGTTTCACCTTGAGTGCCTGGTCCATCTTTTATTTCTCATGTCTGAAAAGTGAGGTTTTGCCAACCTTAGATCTGGTTGCACCTGGGGACCAGGAGAATGTAGTATCCTTTATCTCAATGATATTGTCTCCATCAGTCTGATTCCTATGATCAACTTATCTTCCTAATGGACGAGGTGCATTTGGAACTGCATTGGTGGCTACACAACATGGAATAGTAGGCAATCTTTGGATCCCAACCAGACGTTATTCTAGAATCAGATGCCAGTCTCCTGGATTGGGGGGCAACTTACAAGGAACCTACCACAGGTGAGATGTGGTCTCCCTCCAAAAAGCCTTACACATCAACTGCCTAGAATTTATTACCGGCTTCTTTGCAATACTCAGTTTCAAAAAGGATGCCTACAAATGTTTCATGGTCCTGCAGATAGACAACATTTCAGCCGTGTGCTATGTAAATTGCCTGGGTGGATCGCGTTTCAACTGCTCTCTGATCTGATGAACGACCTCTATCAATTTTGTTTGCACAGGAATCTCTCTCTGTGAGTGGACTTATCGCGGACTGGTTCTCCTATTACTGGAGAGACACAAGCGATTGGTAACTATACCCTCGAGTCCCTCCAATGCTTACAATTGCCCAGGGGTCCTCACAGGTTGGACATTTATATACCATCCACCACTTACAGTTGTCCCGGAGTCCTTTCAGGTTGGACACTTTTGCTTTCCCATTTGAATCACAAGACAGACATGTTATTCAGCTCCAGATCTACTCAGTACCGCTGTGGATGCTTTCTTCCAAACATGGCAAACAGAGGGGGCGTACATCATTCAACAGGTGCTTTGCCACATCAAAACTCACAAAGAACAGATGATCCTATAACAGTGGTTTCCAACCTTCCTAGACCTGTCTGTGTCTTCTCAAAGACCCCTTCAGGAATTGTCACACCCTCAACCTTCAGGGTCATCTGTGTATCATAGTATGGACCCTTTTAGAGGATCCTGGAATGTCTCAGGACTTTTGAATTTAGCTTGAAACCTACTCTGGGGTTTCTGGGTACTTGGCACCAGATAATCCTACGTTGTGGCTTGTAAAGTCTGGTTAGCTGGTGTGTGGGAAGGGATACTGATCTTTTATGCTTCATTAATGAATGTTTTTTAAGTCAACATTTTTTGCTCAGATATTGTGATGCGCATGTTCCTATTGACAACTTGTCAGTTGGTAAACATCCTTCGATATGTCAACTTCTGCATGTAATTTGACTTGCAAATCTATATATACCCATTTTTGGGACACGCTGATATTTGATTTTGTGCAATCCTGACTGAGTAATAAGTGCTTTCCCTGCATTAACTTTCTTCTCATGTTTCTTTCTCTATGGTAAACAGCAAATATGAAGCCTCCTGTCTTGCTGTAAAATTTGTGATAATTCTAGCTTTAGTGACCTAAATTTAATTGAAAATTACATTTTATCATTCAAATTTATATTATTTGGTCTTGTTTTTACTTATCATCTTATTACTTATCATCTGAAAGTCTCCAACTGACACAGTTGCACTTTTTCCTATTTGTCCTTACATATCCCAGGTTGGGATTGTAGCACTTACGTTGTTTTCAATGAGCATATGTGTGCTCCACTAAATGTAAGTACAATTCACTCCTACTTACAAAGAAATATTCTTATATACAGAGAGCACTATTTTCTGTTTCTGTTTTTATTATATGCCTATTGTTGAATATGGAAGAATACTCACAATTAGTGATGTCACGAACACGAAATTTTCGGTTCGCGAACGGCGGACGCGAACTTCTGCAGATGTTCGCGAACCGGCGAACCGGGCGAACAGCCATAGACTTCAATGGGAAGGCAAATTTTAAAACACACAGGGACTCTTTCTGGCCACAATAGTGATGGAAAAGTTGTTTCAAGGGGACTAACACCTGGACTGTGGCATGCCGGAGGGGGATCCATGGCAAAACTCCCATGGAAAATTACACAGTTGATGTAGAGTCTGCTCTTAATCCATAAAGGGCATAAATCACCTAACATTCCTAAATCACAATGGATATG